AATTCCCACAAACTTAGTGGGTAATTGACTGATTCTCCATGTAAATTTCCTAACTTGACAGATTCCCGGAAACATGAAAACCGTTTAACAGAAGCTAACTGGATAAACCCCTAATTCCTCGTGTCAATTGCCTAATTTTCCTTGTGAGGCCACTACAGATCAGATTCCAACAAACATAGCTGGTAATTTACTGATTCTTCGTGTAAATTGCCTAAGTTGACAGATATATGCACACATGAGGTTGTCACATGCAACTGGTTAGTCAACTAATTCTTCACGTCAATTGACTAACTCCCATTGTTAGCCCACAAAATCTCACATTCCAACAATCAATGGGATAAACCAAACAAAACAAACTCATTTGCCTAATCCATACGACAACATTTGCCCCTCCCAATTCTTTTCCTTATTCCTGCAAAATGCCTACAAACACTATAGCAATGTAGTTAACTACCAACACTAATTTTTCCCTAAATAATTAATAACTTTCTTACTTAGCCCCCGCACAAACTCTTCATGCTACACTCACAAGCCTTCGCTCACTAAATCAGGAGTATTTGCTAAAGGGCAGTCGGGGAAACGGCCGAACACTATGTGACACATTGGTAATCATTCCTGGGTTAGAACCTAAATGTCATTACCAAACACACCCACCTTTCAGTGGGTCATTCCTCCTTACCTACCATGAAAACAAAATCCAAGAAATCTACTGCATTTAACGGGGACCGCGAAGCTTACCAAATGGAAATCAGTGACTTCTTCTCGCCCTGCTTCTTCCTTCTTTGTCGATAGCCTTGCAAGTTTCCTCCTTTGTCGGCCTCTTCTTATTCTCCTTCCGCTTCTAGTGATTACCACGAACCCGCAGATTGAAGCTGATGGAATTTTTGGGGGCCACGTCGAACATTTTTCGCAGATTGCGAGAGGCAGGAATCTTCCCACAGAGGTAGCACGTTCGTAGTCGGGAGAGGGCAGATTTTTCGCAGAGTGGTAGCACGTTCGCAGACCGGGAGACGCTGCAGTTTTCCCAGAGTGGTTGCACATTCGCAGAGCTGGAGAGGGAAGTTTTCGCACACGGGTTACGTTCGCATAGAGAGAGAGAGCGGGAGGACTTTTGACCGTCGCTTTTTCGCCTTATTTTCAAATTTCAGCGGAAGTAAAATGAGGGGCAGTGGCGTCATTTCGTTTGTGGAATTAATATCAGATTGGCCCCTTGGTCCTGCAGTGAGGTTTCAAAAAGTTTTGGGGGCTCTTTGAGATTAATTGTCTTATGCGGTGCTACAGTGAAATTTTCCCTTTAATGTATCTAACTAGTCTAATAATTAACTATGACTAACTAGTCGAATAGACAAGTTCTAACTTACAAAATCACTCTTAATAAAGACGACTATTATAAAGTAACGACTATGACTAAAGTAATTAAGTCTTAGACATGAAGCACACTTATAGTTACATACTCAAGACAAGACTCATTGTTATATGAACTTCAAGTTTGTCTAGAAATGATGACTAGTCAAATAGTACATTAGAGACATTTATTATAATTTTTCATAGATACTTTGCAACAAAATAGTAGACGACTAGCGTCTTATTAGACGATTACATAACTTTTCCAAAGAGCATCACTTTAAGATCAACAATCAAATAGTCTAGCTCTTTATCGGAGTCTACGAATTTAATTTCAATTGTAGTGTCTATATTATAGTCTCTTGTCATTTTCAAGCTCTTTATCAGAGTCTATAAATTTAATTTCAATTGTAGTGTTTATATTATAGTCTTTTGCCATTTTCAAGTTTAGTTTGACTATAACCACTATCCCAAAAACAATTGGGTTTTTGTTGTGGTTTTTTTTTTTTTATAGTGGTTGACTCAAAACCGCTACATGGTCAAATTAATAATGATTATGAGCAGAATTTCTACCAGCTCTTTGATTGGCGCCTTGGTAGCAATCTTTTGCAGTGGTTTATGAGTGAGGATCGCTACTTCATGCAAGCGTCAAGGGGCTAGTTTTGTGAAACCTATTATTCCTCCGTTTCTTAATATAATATCTATTTAACTAATTTGATTAAATTAAGAAAATTGGGTAAGTTAATTAATTATAAGAAATGTGACACCTTTTTCCTAAAATACCATAATCATCTTTCTTAATACCCCATCTCCCTCTTCTACTTGATTATGGTTGAGGGACTATTCACAATGATAATTTAGAAAAAATTGATAAATATAATAAATGCATCTTATATTTAGGACCAAAACCAACTCAACAATTAGGTCCTATATTAAGGACCAGAGGAGTACTACAAAACATTGGTGGATTCCAGGCATCACATTTCGATGGGAAATGTACTGGTGTTTACAAGACAAACACTACAAAGTTTCATACAATCCAATGCATAGTGGCTGTCTTGAAAAAACAATTGCAAGATACCAAGAGTCGCATCTAGTAGTGATGTCAGTAGTAATTTCTAGACAATGACTACAATGTGTTATTGATAACAAGGATTCAAATGGCATTTTGTAGCACATTACTATTTCCAATCCTTAATATAAGAGCTAGTTAACTAATTGGAATAGATTAAAGAAACTAGTCACGTTAGTTATTTATAATAAATAGACGTTGTATTTATTAAAATATCCTTACTAATAAAGTATATTGACTAAAACTACCATGATTATAAAGACTATTTTGAGGGGGAAATGGATAAACATGAAAAACAAAGTGAATTCAGATCTTATATTTAGAACCAAAATAAAAATTAAACGAGCTCTCGTATCAAAAGAATTGGTTTCAAATGGCATTTATGGTGGCTGTTCTAACAGTAGCCGCTACAAATTTGGCAATGTGATGACGATATGCAGTGATTTTGAAAATAACCACTACTAACACAGTGCCTATATATATTTCGCTACGCCTACCATTTGTCACTTTTGCCAAATTCTGTGCCACCTCCTTTGAAGCATTTCCTTCTACAATAAACAGCTCAACACTTCAGGTTAGTTTAGGTATTTCTTTTAATTATTTAACCAATGTTTTTGGTTAATTAGTTGATTTAATTAATTGTTAATTATGTTTTTAGTTTTAAAAATATTAATACGTTGTTGTAAGCGGCTGATTATTTATGTATGGTTTAATTTATGTGTTGATGTTTAATTTTCTTTTTTTAGTTCAGTGATTTAATTGCTTTATATTTAGGATTTAATTAATTTAAATTAGATCAATTATGATTAATGTTGTTATAGTTTATTTGAAATTAAATTATTTGTTGAACAATGTTTGAAATTAATGTTTTTAATTCATTCAAATTGCATTTATTTGAATTAACAAGACTTTATTTGAAATTAAATTTATTTGAATTCGTAATTTAGTTAACTTATTTGAAATTAAATTCTTTTTAGCTAATGTTGGTAACATGTTATGAATTGAACTAATTTCAATTAATTATTTAATATTTTTAAAAATTATTTTTTTAGACTAATTATTTGAAGTTATATAATAATTTATATTATTGTAAACTAACTTATGTAATTTGTAGGTATCATACATAGTTCATCGAAATGAAAAAAATATTGACCATGACACTTCATTACGTCAAGATCCGTTCCCAGCTTGAGAGCCTCACTACTCCCAAGACCCTCCCCTTATGACGAAATCAATTTCATTTTTGATGATTTTTTTTTCCGTTGTCCAGAGTATTTTTCCAGCCGAATGATAAGAAACTATCTCAGAGTACTGTTAAGGGTCGTAACAGAGACTCCTCCCAACAATGTTTTTTCCATACACATCATCCTAAGAATCGAACTCAAGACATGATTTTAAAATGTCCAAACCCCTTCTATTTAGATCAACACATGATTTTAAAATGTCCAAAACCCTTCTATTTGGATCAATACTTGTTGATCATTTTTGATGATTTTAATCCTAACTAGATAGAGAAGTCTGTAGGATAGATTGAGCAGTTTTTGGATCAGGACCGGAGCATGATTCAAACCATGCCCATCGTTTTGTCGTCAACAGAATTCAAGGTTAATTTTCTTAAGTAAAATGACCCCAAAAAATTAAAAATTATTAAATCTCACGGAAGGCGTTAGAAGCCTGGAAGATCAAGGGAGGGTGGAAGAAGAAGAGAAACTACCTTTCCAATACCAAGAATTACGATAGGATGAGGACACCCAAGAGTTAAGGGAGGATGTCCATTGGACTTTTTAAATCAAATTATAGTAATTTAAATTTATTTGTTTATTTATTATTTTAAAGTTTTTAACATATTAAGAGGATGTTTGGATGGAATCAAAACTATAGTTAATTTAAAACACCTCCTGAATCACCAGTTGTGAAATTGAAATCAAGGGTGGGAAAGGTAGGAGTAGGAGGAAGCCAACTCTGAAAAAACTAGTAATGAAAAAAAAAAATTCAATTATATCCTTTCCTCTCTAATACTACCTTCAGTCTTTAATATAAGACCTTATTTGACTTTTATTTTGGTGCTAAATATAAAACCACAATCCATTTTGTCTCTCATATTTATGTATTTTTTCCCAAGGTAATCCTTCTAACAATAGTAGTTCTAACCAATACACTTAATTAGTAAGGATATTTTAAGAAAGACAACACCTATTTATTACAAATAACTAACTTAACTTCTTTCATTAATGTCCTTAAATTAGTCAATTAGCTCTTATAAATAGGACCGCAGGTAGTATAATAAAATGCACATCCTATTATGTATAGTATATGGATGCATCTATTTTCTTGAAATATCAGTATTAAATATCAGTATTAATAAATAATATTAAACTTGCCACTGCATGGACAGATTCAGAAGAAGATAAGCCAAATCACTAGGCTTGTATTAATCTATCACTTAGTTTTGCACAAAACAATGTAAAATAATAATAGGAAAAAAAAAATTACTCACACAAACAACTTCAAAACTTAAAGAGTTGCTCGAGTAATGGAGAAGAGCCTATAAAAGCCACAAAGCAAAGTGTGAGTGAATTTATAGGCTTAATAACTGAAAAAAATATCGAATAGTCATGACATGATAAGGAAAAAATGTATCGAAGACTTAATATTTGACTCATTGGTCGGTCTTAATTTATTACAGAATATAAAGAAAGAAAGTAAGAATCATCTTAACAAGAGATTAGAGGCTTTAGACTCTAGACAATGATTTTTAAAATTATTTGTTACTAAATTGAATAGTCAGAACCTGTCCACCATTGTTACATTTTCAACCCAACCATCTCAAGCAGAACTAAAGACATGTTCAGCTTAATAGATGCTTAATTCTTCCTCTTATGTAAATACCCAAATGCTGCTTTACTGTGTAGATAAAACGGTCACTCTCCTTAGAGAGGTTTGTAAAGCAATAAGCTTGAAACTTCTGCGGCAGTTCCTGCTGATATTATCACGCTTAGGATGGTCCTGTAAGACCGAGAAAAGCAACATGTCATAAAAGCAAAGCAGCAGTTCCATCCATTTTGCGTGAACATCATTCACAAGATTAAAAATTTTTAGGTGAGATCCAGTGATGGATGGAAAACCGGAGATAACTAGGAACCAACCCATGTATATTCTCATTTTTCACAGGAATGTGGATTCAAATCTCACTAATAAACTGAAAGCCTGAAATCATCACAGGACTACCAAACAGTACATATTCTTGATGTGACACTTGACCCTATCATGTCCCTACTTAAATTTTACTTGATGACAGAGTATTGAGAGGAAAAATGTTTCAGATGATTTATTGTCGAGGTTACATGGGTATTTGTACAAGGAGGTTCAACAAGATTAATAAATGCAAGAGAATCAACTTTTAATCCCTAGCTGACAACTACAAAAAGCACTAAGCTACTAATTACATTATTTAACACACTTTTTTTCCCCCTTAATTTGGGCAATTTAACCCCCACACCCCTATAGGGGAGGCAGGAGGAACCCACATACTCATCACGCACACCAACCCGCCGCTATTTTTGGCCACTTGGAGTATAAAACCTATAATCTCCTCTACGAGAGGAGGCGTGGGGGTGTTATTTGTGCTATAAGCTCTTAGCTACATCATTTAACAGTCCCCCTCAAGCTAGTGAGTGCAGCGAGAAGATATTATCTATTCCAAACTTGGAAACTAACTTCTAAAAATGTTCGCTAGATAATCTCTTTGTAAGAATATCTACCAATTATGGAGTACAAATTCACAACTTTCCAACTTCTATTTGATAAAATGTTGATCAATTTCAACATGCTTAGTTTGATCATGTTCAACAGGAGTATACAAAAGTTGTGGCCTTGTTACTTTCTCAATGAGAGTTGTTAATAGTTGATGAAATATAATCAATACCCATATAAAACTTGTGAATCACATACAGTAAGTGGCATTGTTATTTGCTAGACCGAAATTGTTAATAACTGATAAAATGTAGTCAATACCTATACAAAAACTGTGACTGACTAGGGGCCAGTAGCCTTGTTACTTGCCATACGAAAGCTGTCAATAGCTTATGAAATGTAGTCAATAAAGATTGGCAATATATTATTTTGCATTATATTGATTGCAAAACACCGGTAGCCAAATGGTCATCTTTAATTTTGGCACAAACTACCAAGTGATGGTGGGATCAAATCCCACCTTCACCACTTTAAAAAAAAAAAAAAAAAAAAAATTCCTGCTGACAGCCTGCTTGCCGGTGGCCGGCACTGGAGCCCTGGGGCCCGTGAAGGGCTCTAGCACAAGTGGTGGCCAGCCACTAGCTGCTAGCAGGCTCTCTAGCAAGGGGCTTATGCTTCCCCCCCCCCCCCCCCCAAACGAGGGGCAATTGACTTCAAAATGTCAAATTAAGTTTTCCTTTGTGACGTTATCAAATATTAGTAAGAAGGAAAACAAAAGGATTTGAAATAGACAAGATTACAATTTTATCTTCTTCACCTAATCTTTCATGCATAAATTTTCTTAATCCAGAAATTTACCTCACAGCAATGCAACCGAAATTCCTTCACCCTCTCTCATCTGAAATAACTCATTTTCCCAATATGCTTGATTTTCCGCCATAGTAAACAGAACCAAATGGAGAAATTAATTGGATAGAAGTTTATAAGAGAGTGAGGATATATAGTTCATCTTGGCTTGCATGCAAGAGGAAGAAGCATGAAACTCCATGTTACTGCTCATGTTTCGTGCACCCTAGTTTGGGTTTTCAAAACATGGGATAAATTAACGAAGTGCCGGGAATGACAATAATACTGTACAGTTGAGAGAGGGCTTGGCCTTGGGCTTAGAGAGTTAGTGAAAGAGTATTCGACTAAAGGTCCAATTCTCATTTTCTTAATATCATTTGTCTAAAAAGTAGATGAGATTAATATTTAATAATTTACAAGACTTGAGCCTAATAAATATCTATTTTTGATATATTTTAAAATAAGCTCTACCTAAATGGTTAGGCTCAGTCTTTTCTAGTAACTTTTCTCCTAAAATGAAACTACAAAATTATCATTTCTAAATAAATTTTCCAACTCATAAAACATATTGAGAAGGGTACATTAAGGGAGAGAAGACCATTCGAGGTGTCATTGAGGAGGGTAAATCAAACAGTTTGGAGTCTTTTTATAAAAGAGGAATAGGAAGGCCGAGAAGAACACTCAATGAGGTAATTGAACAAGATTTTTTGGTTACCAGCCTATCTAGAAACTCGATTGTTGATAGAATACAATGGCATTGTGCGATCCATGTAGCTGGTCCCACCTAGTGGGATAAGGTTTGTTGTATAAAATATATTGATTAGGTGGTAATAATTCTTTCTATCAGCATATATTATTTCTTCAAAATACCAACATTTGTCCATTTTTAAATCTTCCCTCAATCTCTCGTGGCCAAAAATAACAAAAAACCTTTCCTTAATCCCATAGTCAAATAATCAACTGCATAACCTAACTAAATTAATTTCTCTATTTACATAAATCCACTGCAATTATTTATTTCTTTCCCAGCTAAGTTAGATCCCTTTTAATTTAATTACATGATTAAGATGCCTATCTCACTCATCCCGAGGAATAAAATCTCAAGATGTGGTCCTTGATATTCAGATTACTGTGCAAGTGATTAAGGCCACCTGAAAATGATTCTTCAAGTAATCAATCAGCTCATATAGAGATGTAGGCTTGGAAAATTACGAGCAGGTCAAACATCTACATCTTGTCATGCATTTATGTGAAAACTCAAGAAATGGGTGGACATGCAAACACATACAACGGAACTCAAAGTGACATGGATAATGAACGGCATGTGATTATTAGAAGAAAGAAAAAAGTGTACCTTGAATTAGTTTGTGGACGCCTTTTCATTCTTCATAATCATACGGAATGAATTGGAGCGGTCTTCCGCAACCATTTCTCGCAATATATCATCTTCAATCTTTTCTTTTCGCCATCGGGAAGGGTCCTGCACAAATTCTTCACTAAAAATCATGCTGGAAACCCACTCTTTCCAGGTGGTTCTTTTATACTTATCTTCCTCCAATGTGCCTGTTGCCAGAAGTTGGTACACATACACCATCTTTTGCTGACCAGGACGAAAAGCACGTGCAACAGCCTGTTTTGTCTTGGATGGATTCCATTCCGAATCCAACAAAATCACCCGAGAGGCTGCTGTCAAACTAATGCCTTCAGCACAAGATGAAATTGAAGCAAGAAGTATCTTTGATGCTCCATTAGGATCCTCAAACTTATCCATTATCCTTCCACGTTCAAAGAGCTCTAGCTCCCCAGTCAGAACTAAGACTTCTCGACCTCTATGCCATCCAAAGAACTTCTCAAATAATTCAGCAAATAACCTCACAGGTGCAATGTTATGGCAAAACATTAGAATCTTCTCATTCCTGACCACGCGATAGACCAGGCTCAAAACAAATTTCACTTTTGATCCTTTTTTCAAATCATACTTCCATTTCTCTAGCTCCATCAATTGATCTATAGAAAAAAACTTCTCCGCACATACAGCTGTTTTGACTAACCAAGGATGTATCGATCCAAGGGTTATCAAAAGCTCTAACTCCAAAGGATATCCACTGCAGGCAGACATTTTCTTCTGGAGTTTACTCAATATCTCATGCTGTATATCAGTAGTATTCATTACCAATGTATAGATTTGTAAACCAGGAAGATCCTCTGAATTCCCATTTTCATAAACATCTATAAAACCACTGGTCATCTTTCTCAACATGTTCAGACCCTGCATTTGCTCTTTTTTATCTTTGGAGTCAACTTTTTTCGCAATAGTATCCAAGAAGAATTTTCTAGCTCGTGACTCTATTAAATGGCGTGCTTTTCCTCTTCCTTTCATTTTTCTCTTGTATTTAGGGTCCAGTTTTTTCAACACTTCAAAAGCAAACTTTGGTCTAGCCAAGCAAAGAGTGTTGAAGTATTCACAGAAATTGTTCTGGAACAATGTACCTGAAAGTAATATTCTCAATTCCGTCTGTACTTTCATCAATACTTTCCTCAACCTTGATTTTGTGCTTCTAGGATTGTGCCCTTCGTCCAATATAAGAATACCAGGACTTTCCCTTAATACTTTAGCCATGTACTTTCTGTGAGAAAACTTTGAATCCTCTCGCATCAATGTTAAAAATGAAGTATAACCCATGACTAGAACACTTGGGTGCGTGTGCCACTTTTGGATCTTTTCCAGGCAATCCAAAATATGCTTGACATCATCAGTAGGTTTAGGACCACCATTAAAGGCCACAGTATTCTGCTTGAACGCTCGGTAGGTTCTACGACCATGAATTAGATACACTGGAATAGGAATTTTCCATTTAATAAATTCTTTATACCATGTGTAAAGTGTTGTCTTCGGAGCAAGAACCAATGGTCGCTTCCCTGGGAATAACTTCAAGTAGCTAACAAGAAATGCAATAATAAGGAATGTTTTTCCAGCACCAGGAGAATGAGATATCACGCAACCACCTCTTTTTTTGGAAGCTGCTTCCATAAGTGTGGGGTCCATAGACCCAGCTATATTTTTCCAAAGAAATTCAAAAGCTCTCTTTTGGTGGACGTGCAACTTCCACCTGAGTTCAGGAATTAATGCCCATACATTATCATTTTCTCCAGTTATAGGTTGATCAGGCAAAGCATCAGTAAAAAAAAGATGGAAACCATCATTTTCGTCAGCCTTTGGCTCTGGTTCTGAACCTTCTCCACTGTGTTGCTTCTCCTCATAGTGCCACATCGAACGTTCCAACTGACATATTTGACAAATTGTCAGATACTGAGCAAACATAAATGGATTAAGGTGCAAATTTGTCTTGAAAGTTTTCACTTTGGAGCAATGGTACTGAAAACTCTTTTAGGAGCAAATCTGCCCCCGAAGTTCAAAATTATAGCAATATTGCCCCCTACTGTTAAAAAACTTAACTTGACCGTTAAAATAGTGATGTTAACCGTCAACATTTTAACGATAGAGAACAATGTTGCTATGATTTTCAACTTCCAAGGCAAATTAGCTCCCAAAAAAACTTCTGGATACCCAATGCTCCTGAGTAAAAACTTCCCGGACAAATTAGCACCTTAACCAAACATAAATTGTCTAACCAATGATGCAAGATTATACTACCTCCAGTCCTTGATTAATAGAAGAGCTAGATAACTAATTTGCGAATATTAAAAAAATTAGTTAAATTAATTATTTGTAATAAATGGGTGTTATCCTCCCTAACATATCCTTGTTAATTATGCTTATTAGAATGGAAACTTTTTAACATGTGTAATCACTATGAAGACTACTTTGGAGGAAAATGAACAAATATGAGAGACAAAGTAGATTAGAGTCTTATATTTATGATCAAATTAAATCTTCAATTAGCTCCTATATTTAAGACTGGAGGTAGTAATTAACATCAACAACTACATGTGTTGACGGGGAGAGCATCGGATAACAGAATAAAGGAACCCCACAGGTTCCTTTTGGGATCACAATATTTAATCTATAATTGATTTTACAACTAGAAAACACCTTCCTAATGCAAGTCGTGTCCATCTTGATGCAAAGTTAAAAAGAAAAACCGTGTTAAAAAATATCTAGTCATACTGATACACAAATTCAACAAAAGTTTCAAAAACTTACAAAGGGTGGCAAAATATCTTTTATCTCAGTACTGACAATGCCACATAAGAGACAGTAAATTCCAACTTCTTCATTCATTCTATAATCATGGCAACAAAGTGAATCAGGCTTTTCCATGGTCTCAGTAAAAACTGCAGCGCTTGAACCCTGCTAAGATAGCTGAACTGTATTAGCTTTAGAAAAGATCGTGAACAAAATAAAAGTAGACTAACAAAATAATAATAGAAATGGGCTGAGGCCTCTTTGTTACCAGAAAACCAAAAAATTAAAATCAAACTCACCTCCCCTCACCCCAAAAAAGGGAGAGGAAAGGGAGGGGGGGGGGGGAGTAAATGGCTATACCTCCGTGTCTTCTTCAACATAACTTGATGCCAATGAAACTTCCATTTCTCTCCACAACATATCCAGTTCATCAGTTTCTTCCTCGTCCTCCATTTGGGGGGCCTTTGTTTCGCTCTTTTGTCCTAAGTTACTTGTTTCCTTGAATTGCATCCACTGCTCAGTTATAGGTGGCTCAGCTTTGGATGGTTTTGCATTCATATTCTTTAAATATGAGTCTATCAATTCCTTATAGGCACCCGCACTTAAGGACCTAGCTTTATAAGTTCTTTCTTCATCAGATTGTCTGCTTGAAATTGTTGAATAATATTTTCTCCCTTGAACTGCAGCTTTATTGGAATTTATCCCTTCCCACCTGCCTTCAAAATCCTTATCATCAAAACCCAATGAATTCTTCCTCTTCAGTTTAGGGGTGCCATGATTATAATGACATCGGGAAGCAATATCACCACGCTCTTCAACACGATCTTCAAGGTCTGGAATCTTCGAGGGATGATTATGGGATTCAAAAGTTAACAAATCCATATCATTCGTCTTTGGTTCAGGACTACCCATCAGGTGATAATATTTGTTAGGAAATTCAACATTTCTTTGTGTGTGATGTTTTGAGACCTTGGCATTGGAATCAAAATGCTCAATGTTAATAGGATCACATTCTTGAGGAACAGGAACAATGGCAAGTTGAGATTGACTTTCATTCTTATCAGCATCACCTGAATTCACTTCCTTAGATTTAGGCCTCCTTTTATACACTTTAAGCTTGTTGTAGGATTTCATGTTATCAAACTTTAGTCCACTGTCATCGTGCTTCACTCCAGAACATTTTTGCAAACCAATCAGGGATGACAGTGGCATTGACAATTCATCATCCTCAGTATCATCTTTTCGAGTGTCCATCTTGTATGGCCTTGTTCTGACAAAACCAACATCCAACACATGAGTCACGTCACAGCCAAGGTAGCGCTCGGGTTGAACATTCCGGCGTTTGGAACGACGCAAACCATCAGGACTATAAGATGGAAATGCTTTATCTTTGTGGGAATCATCTCTATTGTCAACCTTATCGGTGTCAGATGAAATAACTTGGGAAACGATGGGTACTAACATGCTGTTGTCTACTCTGAAATTTACAACATCCAGTATGGAGCTATTATCATCACCCCCTATGATTTGATATACAATCTTGTTACCTGCCGATCTCACACAAAATGAAACCTTCTTCAAAACTGATGAGACAATTAACCACGAAATATCAGATAAAAATTTCCCTGAAAGCAATCTAGTTTGTGGTACTGCATGCCAGTCCTCAGATGAATCCCACCGATAGTGTTGATCTTCACAAGGACTATGCTCAAGCCTTTGGAGTATCGAAATTTGATCTATTCCCACTTCTTTGATCTCCTTACTCAGAGTTCTTACCTCAGAACCAATACAACCTTGATTAACATATATGTTTACATAATACCGACATGAGCACCCAGGTTCATGTGGCTTCCTCTGTATAGAACTTATTTTAGCATCAGCCCACACCTACAATGAGAAGAATTCTGCTGATAAAGCATACATTTAAGTGACAGAATGTTCATGAGGACTTTAACATGGGCCAGGAGCAATGCAACATTACGAGAAAAACAGTATTGAGGATCTAGTAATCTCACAACTATAGATAAAACTTTCCCATATTATAAGACCACTAAATGTTTACTATGTAGATGTATTCTATATAAGTAGAACCATACACCAAGTTAACCCAACAGCTTAAACATTTAAATGAGCTCATGACATGTTTTTATTGAAATCTCGAAGGGACTCTAACCACAGTGGTTCAAGCTTGTCGTGCGAACAAAACACAAATGCACCATTCAAAACTGAATCTTAATCAGAAAAAATAGAGATATAGCAAGGATCAAATTCTCGACCAATTGATGGTTCATGAAGAACCATGCCATGATTGGTTTTTATAAATGTCTCTAACAACTATCATCTCAAGAAATGAGAAATCAGCAGCAAAGTGCTTTCCAGTGTGTGCTTCTATCAAGTAATTAAAAAGCATTATGAAAAATCGGGGAACACATAGAACTTCTATGCAGCATGGAGAATTTATCCACAAATCATGCTCAATGACTCAAAGAGACTCCCAGACTATGAAGCAATAAGATGGTGATACAATCTGCTATTTTATATAATAATATAACAAAAAATGATTGCAAAATTGTGCTTCTCGGTCTGTGCACTTCAAGGAAAAAATCCAACTTAAATGGTCACTTACAGCATTAAGATTATTTTGATCTGAGCCATTAGCATGTTGAAAGGAAGAAAGTACACATATGTCAATTCCAGGTCTTAAAAAGCAGGAGCAATCCGATACAGTTGCTTTCCTAGACCTTATCCGAATGTCTGAAATGGGAGCTTTCTCCCTAACAACATGGTTATTATCTTTAAAATGTAAGACCATTGTTCCCCCTTCAATTGCTATGCACCTCAAAGCTTGCCATGACCCATGGAGAATTGCCTCAAATGCTGTATAGAAATATAAAAGTATCTTAAGAATCTCTGCTGACAAATGTGAGTATATGGTAATCACATTGCAAAAGTTCAAGTCTATCATGTCTGTCCTACCAATGAAAATGCCCTTTCTCCTTAATTACACCTCCAGAAGGTTTAATTCTCTTTAAGGCATGTAAAAACAGTGCTTTGATTCAAGGAATGCATAGTAATTGATAGAAGTAAAGAAAAAGAAAAGGCTTACGATAAGAATCAAATGGATGCTTCAATTGATGTAAACGCCTCTTTTTGCGCATTGTTGAGTTTAATAGCTATTTGACTTGGTGATGTCTTCCAGTGAACTTCTGCAGTAACTTGAATGCAACAAATTAGGAATATAAATGAAACGGAGATAAACATCCATTGAAGTGGAAGGCATCATCCAAGTTTGCAAAATGATCAGGCAAAATCTTTACATACGAAAGATATAAATCAGTGTCACAAATATTATTATTTTTATGTGCATCAGAAAGAATGCTTCACCTCATATTTTTTCCCCTTAAAATTGGGCATTGCTTCTTTTATTACACAAGAGAATTGAACGTTATTCCACCAAAACCAATTCCCCCCCCCCCCAGCCGTGTGAACTAGCCTCAAAGGGTATATCTATTAAATCTTATCCACTCAACATTGAGTGTGTATACAAGAAGGACCAAACTTGCTATCCTTCAACTGCACTAATTCTTATTCACATGGCCCAAAAAAAGGAAAAAGAAAAGAAAAGAATAGAAGAGAAGAGAATCTCATTCTACCAATTCTTATCCCACCTACTCTTAAGTGGCAATAATAAAAGTATTGAATTTTTGTGCTTTGCATGCAGTAATTCTTGTTCCACCCCACTTCAAATGACATAAACAAGGATCAAACTTGCAATCCTTTAGCTAACACCCAAATCTTGTAGACACGTGAAGCAGAGGATCAAACTAGCGATCCTATTCTTATCCTCATTTGCTAATTCATGTTTTCTAAGTGACATTCATAATCCTTCTTCCATCATCTATTGGGCCCCTTTAATCATTACTCAACCGTTTCTATTCTATCTCCTTTTCATTATTCTTAATTTATTTGATTTTTTTATTAGAGGCTCGAGATTATTTTACATCATCAAAATCAAATTTTTCATTACATTATTTTCCATGTGTTGTGTGGCGGAACCAATGACAATTGAACCGACTTGCAACAACGTTTAAACAAAAAACCCCATGCTTCCATCTACACGAGCTACGCTCAAGTGGTTTTTATAATCCATGATTGCTCATTCTTATTCAGTCCAGTCCAAATATAAGAAAGAAAAAGCAAGAGAAATCAATGTAAAACAAATGGCGGGTACATTAACGACTCAGCGTTCACTTTTCTTACTCTTTAGCAGGGGCAATATTACTCTACAGTATCCAGAACTTCAGATATATATATATATATTCCCTAGAACATAATATGTCATATTCACATACTCTTACACATAAATAGCAAAGCCTTGCATGCAAAATAATAGCTTTTACAGATAAATTTCCAGTTAAGAGTCAAAAGCCTATTCATTTTGGTTTCTTTACCTCTTCGGACGCAGAGAAGTATGTAAACTCAGAAACTCATCGATCAATCAAATGATCGGCAACGGAAACTTGAAGACATTCCGATTTTGCAGAAACTGAAGTAAGTCGATTTTTCCTCAAAGCAACTAGCTCAGGGCCTAGCACGTGAGGTGAGGTTGGATCCTCTAAGCCAATAAGAGAAAACTTGAAAGAGGACCCAAAAAAAAGGATCATTAAACAGAGGAGAGGGATCACATGATGCCAAAAATGTACTTGAAAATGATGTGAGTGAGTGAGTGAGGGACTGAGGGAGTTGGCTGAGCGAAGAGGGAGAGAAAGTGAACTCGGAAAAAGGCGGAACAAAAGAAAGGCGTGATGAGGTCAAAAAACAAGGAGGGCATGAAGATCCCCTGGTGTGTCGAGAGCCGGGAGAATGCTGAAAAGTTGCACGATATCCGTTCGATCACATGGAGCAAACTAGATGATGCCACGTAGCATAGAATCATATTTCCCGATCCTATCCCCTTCTTTTCTTTGCCCTACTTATGCTGTTACGCACCACCTGATTCTTCTTCCTGCCTCCACTTAACCTAATTAATGCCCTTAATTGTCATGCTGGAAATATAAACGAAATTATGATTCCCCCAAATAAAGTCATAAAGCGGGAGAAAGAGAGGGGGAATTAAAAAATATATATATAAATATGGAATTTTAGGCCAGACCAATTAATTAAGATATCAATGAAGATCTGCACTTTAACTTTCTGCCCGTGTCTTAGTTTGTGCCCTTTTTTTATCATTGGCTTCTTCTATTTGTTTGCTTTTTCTTGAGCGGAAAATGACCAGTAAAAACCTCACCTAAATCCTAAATCCAAAGATGGTATCAACAAATCCCTACCAAGAAACCAATAACAAAATGGTATTTTGAAATTTAAATCAAAAGACACAATGCCCCTCCCCCCCTATTAAAAAAAGTCAAAATCCCTCTCATTATCCGTGAAAGGGGTTTGTTTTCCAAAGTGATAAAAGACAGATTTGATTCCCATCCCACCACAGCATCTTCAAACTGAAGAAGACCATTAAGTGACAATTTTTTTATTGTCAAAATAGTACAAAATAATATATTTATATGTATATATTAACTACTTAACTTTGGGTACAAATTATTCACAACTTTTGTTTAATTGTTAACTACTCCCCCATCCTTTTTTATAAGTAACGTAGATCGAAAAATTAATTAAAGATAATAAATAGGTAAAAATTAAAAATTTATTCTTTAAAATACCCTTATTTATTGGGAGGAAGAGAGTATAAAAATAAAATAAAAAATAATTATAATAAAGAGAATTATGAAAGAGAAAGATAATCGTTTGAGAAATGAAATAATAAATATAATGGGCATTAAAATAAGTAATTAATAATGGTAAAATAAGAAATTTGTCATAAAAATTTAAAACAACATGTAAATGTTGTTTATATTTAAGAATAAGAAGGGAATGGTAGTTATTAGTTATAAAAAGAGATGAAAGGAATACATTTCATTAGCTATCAACTTCTTTCGTCTAGTAAGTAACAATGCCACTCTTTTTATGTGGAAATGCTTAATTGCTAAACTTCAAAAAATAATGACAAATTTTCATTCAATTTTACCAATTTCATAATAGAGATTAATAAGTCATGATTTCAATTTATGCACTTGGGAAAATGAGAAAAATCATGTCTTTGTGAAAATGTTTATTTTCAAAATTTTAGTTGATAATAACAAATTTTCAATCCATTTTAGCAATCTTAAAATAGAAATTTACACATCAACATTTATATGAAATTTCATTCATCGAAGTTATTAATAGCTAATGAAATATTGTCAACAACTGTGTAAAAGTATTAAATGACTTATAGTGAAAGATAAAAAGTTAACGCATATAATTTTTTTGCATCGAGGAGTCACTCAAATTTGGCGGTTCAATAGTCCCCCTTATTTTCAAGATGCAAGTGGTCAGGAGATCAAATCCGACACTCACTATTTGCCCAAAATATTCCTGGCACTGACAGCTAGCTTGCCCATCGACCTAGGGCAGTCCTAGTCATTCTTGGACGGAATAGCCTCATCAAAAAAAATATTTTCCATTGAAGCTTATGTTGGAGGTAGGTGAGCCGTCAAATGAACTTCCTGTTGAAATTTGAGTCTAAAGTAATTAGTCGCGTGCTTTTGGCAAAAGTACTTTTAAATTTTAATTTCGAATCTTAAATCTTTTAGTGATCTCCTGCAAAGAGTACTTGAAAATATTCTAAAATATTTTTGGTATTAGACACTCTTTAAAACATTTTTAAGATTATTTTGAAATCAAGAGAAATAATTTTTTAATATAAAACTTGGGATGAATAAGGTCATATTTGACTAGGAATGAACTTACAGCAAATTGGAGCCAGCTTAGAGGATTTATAACGTGAAAAGTGAAGTATGAATTGGATAGGATTAGAGTCAATTTAGACTTGCACTAAACTTGGAATATATTCGAGTTAAATGTACTCTGAATATAGCATTGAAAATTTGACGCAACTCAAGTATGAGTAGAATAAAGTTTTACTTTCAATGAACTTAGAGTGAACCTGAGTAGAATACTAATGACACAAGATTTTAGAATCAGATAAACTTGAGTCTTTTTTAATTTGATTGAATCTTAGAGCTTATACAAGTCAAATAATCAACATTAGTATATAGAACTGAATGTGACTCGAGGTAGTTTTGACTTGCATCAAACTTGAGATATGTGCAATTCAACTTAAAGATAAAGAAATATTGAAATTACGAAGTAATTCGAGGCTAAAAAGACTTTCATGAGACTTGGAGTTAACTCGAGTGAAAAAACATTTTTATATTATATCATATAATTTTATAAATAATTTTTTTACAAAATAAATATTTCTCTAATTTTGTTATCATCAAAACATTAGATTTATCAGTAGGATGACTTGTGTTCATGCAATTTGCTACTAGTTTCAACATGGTATGCTATGTTTTAACATTCCAATCCATTATAACTATCATAATTCAAGTCTTAACTAGTTCCTTAATCATGATTTAAAGTGAAATCAATCTTTCATAATTTCTTGAAAATTTTGAAAGCACCTTCCCTTAACTTTCTTACTTCCAAAAATAACAAAATTCCAAGAACAACCCAATCCAACAACATCTTAATTATCACTTCCCTTGGCTCCGATTTTTAATCTTTTGAAACTTCCCCTCATGAAACCCTAAGCTTCAACCTCTCCTCTTGCTAAACTACACAATCATGAGAGGATTTATAAGCCATAAATAGGTTTAGAGAGGAAGAAATGGGAAGATTATATATCGGATCAAAAAATTTAATTCAGCTACTTTTTCCTTGATTGCCTTCCTCTCCTCTTCTTTTTTCCTTCTCTCTCTCTCTTCCTCTCCCTCCCTTTCATGTTCTCTCTTTCCTTTTTGGGTTGGTCGACCTTATGGACCAAATGAGGGAGTGAATGGGCCTTTTAGTTGGTTTCATTATTTTATAAATCAAATTTCATATTTTCTCATGTCCAGTTTTCTCATGACTTAAAAGGCCAAAGTTTCATAACGCATGTTGGCACAGACGACGGATGAGTGTCTGTGTCCCTTAATCATCATTCCTGGGTTCGATTTCATTGGAGGATGGGAATGAAACTGGTGTACTTGAGAGGCTAGCCCCCGTAATTGTGCCTCTGCAAGTCCCAAAAGATTAGTCTACTGCTACTCGAATGTGGATATTCCAGTGTTTCACCCAAAAAAAGAACAAGGCCAAAATTTCCTCTTATATTGCTCCATGCTCTTCCCAAATCAAATTATCACGCTTAACTTTTACTTCTTAACTAATGTTAGTTTAATCCTCTACTGATACCTTTTGAAATTCTTTAATTTTATGACCAATGTAAGACCACCAGAAGTTCACATTTATTAGGATATAACTCCCATTTCACATTTATTAGGATATAACTCCCATTTCACATTTATTAGGATATAACTCCCATTTTTTCTGAAATCTAAATTTGGTGTCTAAGTATTTTTCCTTCATTTTTTTGAGAAATTGCCCTATTATTAGATAAAATCGCATAAATATTCTTTAAACCAAAGTTTTTATCTCTTCGGGTTCCTAATCAATTAAGGAAGGATTTAAGCTTAGCAAACACATAATCTCTATTAATCCAAATGATCAATTCTAACAATTTGTGGTCAGTAGCTATTCATTTGAAAAATTTATTATTGTTAGCATGACTGGATACGTAAGAAGAGGCAAATTGGGTGTTAATAAAAATTTTGCAAATAATAAAGTAATCAAAATTAGTTAATAAAATCATAGTCAAGTAGAGCAGATATCATCTATCATTTGAAGGAAGAATAAGAGAAAATAATATACACAAAGATGTATATTGGTTCCATCAAACCTAACCTGCATCTAGTCCCAAAGCTTCACTTGAGAGTTTCACTATAGATTCAGTGGGCTCTTAGAGTCATAGTACATCAACAACCTCTGTTCCAGAGACAACACCTCAATATCAAAAACAATCATTCCTTTTTATTGCATGTAAGAGTTCATCCCACTTAGAATTGTAGGATTCTAAGCAATAAATGAAGGTTTATTACAATTAAGTGAATTTTTCTTTCTTTAAGTTTCCATTATTTTTGCAAATTCTTTGAGGCCACTGGATATTTTACATAATGAAATTATTTCTTAATCAACCAAAATTCTAGAGTATTTCTTTTATTTTTAACAATAACTGAGCCTCAAATATTGCCCTAGATATTTTTCTCTACCTTTCATAAAATTTTTGGTAATTCTCTAAATTATTAGCATAATTTTCAAAATTACCTTTCCATACCTGTAATTTTTGAAAAGGGAGAATGATTGTGATTTACCCAAGAAGGAAGTTAATTGCTAAAAAAAATCCAAACGTTAAGTGAGCAACTGAAACCTGTTATTATTTTCTGACTTGAAATTTGTCATTATAAACTATACTCAGTTGAAAGAACTCGCTATGAATATGTTTTTTTTTGTTGAGATTTTATTGTAATTCTCCCTCTTGAAAATGATGCTTTTTCCTAACTCAAGCCAGAAGTAATACAGCATTTGCATTTGTGTGCCAACTATTTTATCCGG